ACGAAAAATTTCAAATTTGGCTTGATACAATACGAATATCTGAATTCTCCGCTAAATTCTATGCGCTCTTTCTTCGTCAACCATTATCCTATTTTTCTCGGTCCTCGGCCCGGACAATAAATCTCGTGGCGAACTCCGTCTACTTCGGTGCGTGCCCTGCCCACCAATAGCATTTGGCTCCCTTCTTTTCGCCGACCTCTACCCCCTTTTTCACCGGTCTCTGGGACCTCTTGGAACCAAATTACGACACTTTTGGCAAACTCCGCCCACTTAGGTGCGTGCTCTACCCACTAATAGCAGTTGACCTCTTTTCCCTCGCCAACCTCTAACCCCGTTTTCCCCTATCTCTAGGACCTCTTGGAACCGAATTGCGACACTTTTGGCAAACTCCGCCCACTTAGGTGCGTGCTCTACCCACTAATAGCATTGACCTCCTTTCCTTCGCCGACCTCTACTCCCTTTTTCCCAGCCTCCGGACTTCTTGGAGCCGAGTTATGAATTTTCGTCGCAAACTCCGCCCACTTTGGTCATGCCCGCCCACCATTGACAGCTGGCCTCCACTCCTCCACCCACCTCCATCCACCTTTTTCCCGCCTCCGGGACTTCTTGGAGCCGAGTTATGAATTTTCGTCGCAAACTCCGCCCACTTTGGTCAAGCCCCGCCCACCGATGACAGCTGGCCTCCACTCCTCCACCCACCTCTATCCACCTTTTTCCCGCCTCCGGGACTTCTTGGAGCCGAGTTATGAATTTTCGTCGCAAACTCCGCCCACTTTGGTCAAGCCCCGCCCACCGATGACAGCTGGCCTCCACTCCTCCACCCACCTCTATCCACCTTTTTCCGGCTCTTTAAGACTTCCCCGGCCCGAATTATGAGGACTTGTAGAAAATGCTGTACACTTCAGAGCGCGCTCCGCCCATTGTGGGCGGCCTCCGCCCACGTCATGTATGCTGGAAACACCTTAGACATTGCTCCCCTACACCAATTTGTTTTCTGCTCTGTAGGCTTTCTCCCAACCGAGTTATGAAATTTTTCATAAAGCACTGCTTTTTTGGAGAACGCCCCGCCCACCGGGGGTGGGTCTCCCTAATTCGATGTGACTTACCAATGCACACCTTTACCCACTTTTTGGCCCAGTTTCGAGGTCGTTTTGTCACTGAAATTGAAATCTTGGTCTCAGTACAGTTCATTTCGACGCACGCCACGCCCTCTGGGGGCGGCTCTCTTTGCTGATGTATGACATACGAATAACGAATTTATTTTTTATAGTAAAAGTCTCAAACGAAAGTCGATGTGAGCCGTGCCGCCATTATTTTACCTGTAACATTCCAATTTCTAAACTCATGACGGTCGAATCCTCGTACTTAATTTTTCCATTCCTGGTATGACACTGGCAGTCGGTGGGCTACCAAATTAGAGTAAACAAAAGCCCGATCTGATAAAGCAACACCTATCATAATATGAGCGAGGCCCAAGCAGAAGAGGTTACCTCGCGGTGGGGTAGGGTGCAAAGAAAGGACAGCGCTGGAAACACTGCGTCTGCATTGGGAGACATTAAACTTTTTAAGTGTGTTGGGTCCCTTACGCCTTGAAATAGACTGCACTATACTTCTTCTTGTCAGCAGCTATCTCGTCTGATAACAATTCAGGGTTCTCGCTAGTTACTTCATAAAACTGCGTACGGTGATATTCCTGCTCGGAATGATTCGTTTAAGGGTAACACTGCCTACGAATCAAGCGTTGGAAAAACAGATGGCTGCGCTAGCTGATTGTGTTTTGTATTTACTTGAGACCCTTCGCCCGACCCATTCTTTGCACACTTGTGACCTCCGTCCGTCCAGCCCGGATCCCCGAAGGACTTTATGGAATTATTTTGACATTGGATCATCCAGACTAAGACGACAGACGACAGACGACAGTACCCGGATCGCTTTATAGTTTAGGACCATTGCCCGAAACGAATGAAGGCAAAATTTGGGCTCAACCCCTATCCTAAGAGCCCTTACCATGGCGTAGACTGCAGGTCACAACTGCAAAGTACATAGGATCCCAGTTCACTAAATATCCTACAGCTTCGAAACCCTCCACCTCGAGGACCCTAGAATGGTACGGACTGACCATCGAGTTCTAACAACTCCCTCAAACTTGAACAATGTGCCCCGTCACCCGATCGTTGTCTTGTCTTAGTCGCTTAAGCTTTTTGACATCTCGCTCTCTCTTTTCGGACTTTCTCTTACCACTCTCCGCGCTCGCACATCTCTCATCTCCCTGCCTGTCTTTTGAACTTCTCCACAGCATGGAGCAAAATGCTCGTATTTCCTGTGTATTTCAGGATTTTCTTTCCTTTTTTCTCCACTGGCGGTCCACCTCCCATCCCTACTTTCACATTTGAGTGGAATCACCCCATCAATTTAATCCTGATTCTTGCCTTTGACGGTGAAGTGACAGCCCACTACGAGTCAATGCACAATGGTCAGTGATGCGAGAACGACAAAAACCAAGAAAACGGTTCAAAACCCGAGGACGAGGACTGCCTGTCTTTCGACTAGTTCTATTTCCCCTTCCCCGACCTCCGACATTATCGTGGAGTCCTCCTTCAATTGGTTCCAAACTTCCTTGTGAAACACTGACTGGTTGCAAATAGGCTAGGTTGCATAAGAATGCTATACGATCTGTAGGCGAAATAGGATGTGAGGCGCTATCAAAAAGTGTTTAGGCAACGCCAAAAGCTTCATTTTGCTGTAGTCATACCTCGTGATAGTAATGAGACCCATCAACAGCTAAAGCGGCGGCTATCGTTTCACCGAAAACGATCCTTCCTGAAATGTTAATTAGAGACAACATGATAGGTGATAAAAAATGTAATATTTTGACTTGTTTTGTTTGTTAACTGCTGTTTTAACGCCGCAGTTCGCGTTGCGAATGTTTCACAAGAATGCTGGGTTGTGAACAAAACTTTCGCCCCAGGCGGGACTAGAACCCGCATAACTTAAAAGCGAGAGGTGCGGGTTCTAGTCCCGCCTGGGGCGAAAGTTTTGTTCACAACCCAGCATTCTTGTGAAAAAATAGTTTAACACTAACCTCGTTGACGATGATGAGCGATGGTTTTTGAAGCGCCTCTGCTCATTACATGATCTACATAGAGTGGACAATTTGCCTGCGACGCGAGAACGCATGCTCGATTCGTGGCCTCCTCTTCAAGCTGAACATTACCATCGAAACACAGTTAACTCATAACTTACGACAAATATAAAAATGGATTCTTCCAGCATATGGAGAGGGAATTCGTTCAAAATAGCCAACTTTTAAGTCTTTGGCGTTGT